TACTATTTATTTACATTTTTTTCTTCAATAAGAGTGGATGGATTTACTATCATCCTGTTCACACTACTTGCCATCTTCTGAATTTTTGCTGTTTAGCATTGGGTTTTTGGTTTCCTCTAAGTGTTTTCCCTCTCTTTCACTTCCAGTGGCCAATTGTGTCTTGGTAAAATAATTGTCACAAAAAATATATATATATATATGTGACGTCGTCCCCCGGTCACAGCATCGACTGTGTCGTTCGATCCCGTTTGCGGCGCCAATTGTGACGTCACGTGCTCCCCAGGCTCTGATATCCTGGTCACGGACAGCACCAGTTGTGGCGTCTTTTGTGTGGCGTCAGCTGTTCGCCTCGCTGCTCCAAACATGACGTTCTAACCCTTTGGTTAGAGTGATACCAACCTCGTCGTTCCCAACCTGCTTCCAACACCTGGTTACCAGGGTAACTGCACTGATCTCCGGTCTGCCTACCCCGTTGTGACTTGATCTTAGACAGACGAGATCAAACAGGGCTTAGGGCGCAATGCAAGTTGAGTCTAATGGGGGTGATAACACACAATTATGTATAATAAAAAGAAATAAAATAACAACTCACAAGGTCCAACGTATCAAGAAAAAGGTAACAAACTTTTATGTCTATTTGCTCGGTACATAGGACTATGTCTACCTCCCGACCCGTTCTGTGGATTGTGGCACAACACTTTTACTAGGCAACTTTAAGGCTTCCAGTTGTCTGCTCTCTTAGAAATTTGCGTTTCGGTGTGTCTTTGGACGAAAGTCGAAAAAAACTTATTTCTTGTGGTCTGATTCTAAGTCGCTCTTCAAACTACTTGTTCTTGGTTGAAGAAGAGTCTAGAAGTGTGCGTGAATCTTGGTTAGCTATCTTGATGCGGTTTCAACACTGGGCGCTGATCTCTGCTTGTCGTTCACGGCTGATCTCTCTCGCCGTCCGCGGCGCAAACTCTGCCTGTCGTTCACGGCTGATCTCTCTCACCGTCAGTGCGTCTGCGGCGCAACTCTCTTCTTCAGAGTCTGAATTATTGGTCACTCATCTCTGCCGTCAGTGCGCGAATTAACTTCTTCTCTTCAGCTTGCTCTGATTCCAACTTCTCCACTTAGGCCAAACGGGCTGCTTTACTTGGCTTCTCTTGCCCGCAGAAGCGAATGAACGGGCCCGCCGTCGCTCAAACTCCCTCGCCGTCCATGGCAAAAAAACTCTCTGATTTCTGTCGGTTGGGGGTCCGCTTTTATTGATTTAGTCAAAAAACTGGGGTGGGTCTGTCGGCGCCAGGGTTTTCTTGATAATTCTAAATCGTATCCACCCTTCTTATTTCTGATTAGGGATTTTCCATTTTCGGTGATTCACTTTCACTCCTACTTCCTTATTGTGTCTCTGAGCTCGGCCAATGAGATCCCGGTCGGGCATTTTTCCTCCTCCTTTGTGCACCACGTGATCCCATCTAGTCAATGGCGTCTTTAGTCGGGCGTGGACAATCCGTGGCTTTGTTCTGGGGGAAGAAACACCTTGCTTAAAGAAACAAAAATTTAAATTGCCCTTATCGTACGTGACCGAAATGACGCTCTCTTTTTTTTTTTTAACACGCGGTATTTGTCAAACAGTTTATCGCTAATTGGATACGATCTAAGAAAGGGATTTCTCAGACTGGGTGGCGTTTTTTCGTGAACTAATAAAAATATTTCACTTTTTTTCTTTCACTCGAAGCTTGATAACAAAAATCTTAATTATCTCAAAAAACATTTTCAGCCAACATCATCTTTGTGGCTTTATTTTCAATTCTGGAATTGTCTGGGTTTTTGTATTAATGGTTTGCCTGCATATCCTTAGATAAACTTCCCACCTGTTACCTATCATATTTTTTTTTCCATTGTCTCTAAACTTTATTTCTTCAACCAAATTGATAACAAACTTCCATTTTTCGTGGACACGGAAGTAGGTCAGGTGCTTGACCTGGATATCTTCCAACATCTGTTATGTATCAATCGTGCGTGTGTGTGCTTGATTATGACCTGGTTTTCGTATTATATTTTTTCTTTCTTTCTTTTTCTTCTTCTTCTCTTTCTTTCTCCCAGATCGCTTGAACGCAATTAAAGAATTATTCTCAAAACCCAAATATTTTTCAGCTCTAAATAATTATCAAATGGTTGACAAACCGCAAAAAAAATAAATCATATATTTATGAATATTTCTTTCCAGCCTGCTAAGTATGCATGGTGCCACATATATATATATATATATATATATATATATATATATATATATATATATATATACAAAAAACCTCAAGGAATTTAAATAAAGGATTATACGAATACAAAAGGGACATTTTACAAAATACATCAAATGCATTGATTGCTCACTATAACTGAACACAATTTTGGCATAAAAATACTACTCTGATCAAAGGAGAAAACAATTCACTATGATGAAAATATTAAGAGAGTGCCTTGATTGCAAGGTTATCCATAGTAAATTTGCACCCTGGCTCTTACAACATTTTAACATTTCTGGCAGATCTTCTATTATCACAGTGTTGGATATCTCATAACAAAAGTGATGGAAACAAAAAGAAAAAGAATCTAAATGAAATAGAATATATATAAAAATAATTAAAATTAAAAATTTTCATCATCCCTCATTCGTGCACATGCATAGTTACACCAACATAACAAATTTACTTTGATGAAATACTAAAAGATGAAACGTGTCACATAAAAATCGTAATCATGATCCACTTCATCAAACCTACAAATTCAAAAAGAACCGATTTCTTTTTGAATTTATAGGTTTGATGAATTGGATCATGATTACAATTTCAATGTAATAAATGATAACCATAGAATATTAGTGTTTGAGCCTTTTATATTATATTCTTGCTCTGTCCTGGACATTGAGCTCTACCTGGATTCTATCCTCTTGAAAATTTATATATATATGTCTATATTTCTGAGATGAGGTATTATGTACATTATTTACATTATTCGGACTATTGTCCTCATCTTTTTTGCCATATCTATCACAACATTTCAGCCATTGTACGCTCCGGCCTTCTTCAGGTGGTTGGAATGTGGAACCGAACCCTTTATTCAGAAAACAGTCTGCCTGCCTAATGTGAAGGGGTTATCAGAGAAAATACAAAGGATCTGCAGTCCATATAACATCAGGACAACTTTCAAAAGCTTGACGACACTTCGCAGATATCTCTCCTGAGTAAGACCCCCCCATAGAGGAGAACATGACTAAAGACGGTGTGTACACTATTCCATGCAGCTGCGGAAAGGAATATAAAGGAGAGACATCCCGCCCCCCTTCAAGGTAAGGCTTCAAGAACACCAGAAAGCTGTAACACGAGGGGAAGTAGAAAAATCAGGCGTGGCTGACCACATATGGAGAGAGAAGGGAGATCACCGCCCTCTGTGGGATCATGTTGAGATCATTGACAAGGAACACCATTGGAAAATTCGTAAACTTAAGGAATCAGCACATATGCTAGGCCACAAAATCTCCTGAGCCGACCAAGCATAGAGATAAATACAATATGGGAACCAGTAATAAGGAGTGCCAGAGAAAAGCAATGATAACATAGTCGCAATATGAACTCTGGTAAAAACATGCAATGATAACAGCAAAATTGCAATATGAGCACTGGTAAAAATGGTTGCTGAAGACATTAGGTTTATAATACCTAGAAATTCATACCCAGGACATGGCACAGTGGATAAAGGCGTTGGTTAGATCCAGTGACAGCACCCAAAGAGTGTGAGTTCAATACCTGGTTAAGGCAGTGGAGAACTTTCAGATGGAAATTAACAGGAGATAACTGACAACTGATATCCATCAAACATGGCATGCGGAATTAGAACAGTCTACCCCAGTGAGCGAAATAAAGGGTTCGGTTCGACATGAAACGACTGAAGAAGGCCGGAGCGTACAACGGCCATTGTGATAGATATGGCGAAAAAGATGAGGACAATAGTCCAAATTATATATATATATATATATATATAAACAGAGATTTGTACCCAAGGAACTGATATGTAGCTTTGAAGAAAGTGGACATTATATCTAAGGCATCTTTTGGTCAACGCTTTGTCAAATACCCATATATATATATATATATATAGAGAGAGAGACCACTAATATTATCTATATAGATTTCTATTTTTAAGAAAAGGCTAAAATGACAACTAACCTTCCATTTGACTTTGGAGACCTCATGATTGAATCCCAAGTTGTGAGGTTGTTTGGCTTTTTAGCCTTTTCTTAAATATCTTAGCTTTACATGTTTGATTTTGACTTGAGCACATTTTTGCTGTCTATACTTTTTAGGAGGGGGGCTGTTTTCAGTCTTCCATTTACATTCATATATATATATATATATATATATATATATCTCTTTTGCTTTAGTTCTGTGTCTCTCATCTTTTGTTTTGCTACTCTATGTATCTGGTTTCAGAAATTAAGTTAGCTTATTGACCTGTCCTTAACAATGGACACCTATGTTACTACTACTACAATATCAATACTGGGGAGGGGGTGCTGAAAAGTTGACCCCTCCTCCTAAAAATCAATATCATATTATAATTCTGATTGTTCTTTCACTAGTTAGCATGCACTTTATATTCTGACAATATCTCATAAATAATGCACTATTCTGTTTCGATCATGAGCAAAGATGGAAAAGACATTTCAGATGTAACTGTTTGGCTTCACTGAGAAAAAGAATGATTCATTCATTCATTTTCTGTGACTTATCAACCATTTGCAGGTTATTTAAAGAAGATTTTTGAGATAATAAGGATTTAGTGATACAAGAAGTCTTGCTAACTATCTCACAGCTGTGAGCGGGGTGGCAAGTGGATTTATACCATTCCCAAGAGTATTTGCATATAGGAGAATATAATGAAGCCAACTGGAATTCAAAGTTGGGTCACTCATTAACAATTCCAAGCCATTATCCATTACACCACCCACACATCCAAACTTACAGCAACTGGTATTGCCAAGCGGTCACCCATCTAGTTACTGATTAGGCTCAACATTGCTTAACTTCAGTGATTATACGGGAACTGGTGAGTTCTGTCATCAAACCAATATACAAAGGTGAGGCCTGTCTGTAGACCAATATACAAAGGTGAAGCCTGTCAGCAAACCAATATACAAAGGTGAGGCCTGTCTGTAAACCACTATACAAAGGTGAAGCCTGTCAGCAAACCAATATACAAAGGTGAGGCCTGTCTGTAAACGAATATACAAAGGTGAGGCCTGTCTGCAAGCCAATATACAAAGGCAAGTACTGTTTGCAAAGGAATATTCAGCCTCACTACAGGCGCCTGCTATTCTGCGCATAATTCTTGCTGAAATATGTTTGAATCTCATGTGCAAAATTCAATATGTAAATGTTTCAGCTATTACCTAGCTTCCGCAGAATTGAATCACCCTCATTTCTCCCATATTCGAAATGTAAGGAGAAAGTTCCACCTGGACAGCTTTTCCCCAAAACCTTCTAAATTGTGGAACAGACTCTCGCATAGATACTTCCCTGAATACTAGAATTTTAGCCTCTTCAAGTCTAGGGTCTATCATTTTATATCCTCCTTATCCTCATAGTGTTCACTTCCTACCATCTCCTTCATTATAGCAATTTTAATAATAACCTATTTTGAGTGGCTCTCAAACCTTTGATATTACAGTATAAAAAATTATATGGCAGTGGTGTTCTTTGTCTGTTGAAATAGAGGTGTATTTTATATATCAATACCAGGGAAGGGTTCTGAAAAGTTCTCAGCTTTACCCAATCTTGAGAATCAGTAATTCAATGACCAAACAAAGATTTTTTTTCCAAAGGGTTAAAGAAAATTGGGCAATGATGATATATATGTCAAGTGTTTTGAATTGCATGGTGGAACAACTTGTTCATCTTTTATCAGCTGCTTGTGTTGTGTCTGCTTGTTGAAATAGCAGTGCATCTTAAGTATCAATATGAGAAAGAAGGAAAAGGTGACTGTCCTAGAAGAGGGAAGAGGAAAAAGAGGACAAACCAGAGACAGGGAAGAAAGAGTGAGAGATAAGAGAAAAAAATAATCTGAAGGTGAAGAGGAAGTTGAAAATGAAAAAGGAAGACAAATGAAAAGAAGGTGTTCATTCCAATCACCATGGGAAAGATTGTATCCCCACCCCAACCCACAAAAAAAAAATTGACAAACTGTACAGATTTCTTCCTAGCCAATGAGACCAAGAAGTGATCTCATCTACAATATTTCTGTCCTTTCTTGTTTTGGAGTCAGAACGTTGCAATCACTTGTCTGTATTCCTTTTGTACATTAACACCATTCTTACTTTGTGAATCTTTTTTGTCTTATTACTGTTACTTTGCCTACTTTATTCCTGGCTATGATGATAAACTAAATCCGGCAGTCAGACCTCTTAACTGCTGTTGTCTCCAAGTCCACCCTGTCTGGGTCCCAACTATGAGCAAATAGTGTACCACCAAACAAAAACAAAATACTATAAAAGTATAAAAATACATATTTATAGTAAAATTACCAGCAATACATATTTATAGTAGAATGACCAACAATATATTTTGTAGCAAAATGACCAGCAATACATTTTATCTGTAGTTGAAGGCATACATTTGCATTCAAAATATTTAGACTTCAGCGTTAATTAACACATAGAGGTTGATCAGCTGCTAAACAAAATCAACCAAACAATCAACAGAAAGAATTTTCATATCATAAATCCATATAATATAATATTATATGGATTTATGACATGAAAGTTCTTTCATGTTGATTGTTTGGTTGATTTAAGGAATATAATTCTACAATTCCTTATTTCAAACTGTATTCTAAAATATAATTCCAACATAAAATACAAACATCACTGCCTCTAGTAATTATGACCACACAAACATGTATATGTACAAAAGCTGAGTATCATCTACCATGTATTCAATTGTGAAAGCAGAATAACATATATTTTTATTACTTCAAAGCTCCCAAGAAAATTTAATTTCGGCATTAAATGACCCATCAGGTGTTGATATGTCAAAAACAAACTTTGCCTACTTTTGTCTTGCATATATTGTTTGCTTAATATTATTTTTTTGCGTGTTCTTTCCTTTCTTTTTTTATTAGAAATTTTGTTTGTTGGATATTTCTGCCAATTACATTTAACCATGGCCAATTACTCTACAGAAAGAACAATGATATGAAAAGAGGAAGAAAGAAAAGAAATGAAAAAGAATGAAAGGGAAATGCCATTATAGAAAATATATACAGAAAGGGAAATAAGAGAGAGAGAAGAAAAAGAGAAAGAAGAAAAAGAGAAAGAAGAAAAAGGACGGAGAAGAGGAAAGAATAAGAGAAAAATCAAAGAAAATGGAAAAAAAGAAAGAAAGTAAGTGTTGTAAACTAGAGAAGGTTACTGAATAGAATAATGAAAAAAAAGTTTGGTAATGAATGATAATACTTAGGACAAGAACAACACATATAAGATTTGCCAGCGGCACATAGAAGAAGTAGTCAACTGCTAGAAGTGAGTTAAGTGAATTCTATAATGAATCTCCAACTCTAGAACACGTACAGTATTCACTACTATATTTATGGGAATGGGGGCATACTCATTATCGTCCGTAGGTAGCTACAACAGTAAGGAAGAAGATAAAGAAGAAAGAAGATAAAGGACTGATTGATTTATCTTTTTTTTATGGCTTGTCAACCCTATGTGGATTATTTAGAGTTGAAAAATTTTTTAAAATGTAAAAAATAAAAATTTTTTCTTTTTTTTTAGAGTAAATATTGTATTAACAATTTTGCAGGGATAACAATGATTTTTTCCCAGATACAAGTTCTATTATTTAACCCATAGCTGGGAGGGGGCAGAGAAGATAAAGGAAGAGAAATAGAGAGAAAAGAAAAGGCAAGAGAGGAAGAAGGGGAGAGAAATGATAAAAGTGAAAATAGAATAGAATTAAAAGAAAGATAATAAAAGAAAAGAAAGACAAAAGAGAGAGGCAATAAAAATAGAGAAAGAAAATGAAAGATAAAGAAGAAATGACCTAATGAAAAGAATTCAACAAATGGTGAAAAAGGTGAACAAGTTGGAAAATGAAGAAAGAATTGAAAGATCAGGAAATGGAATTGGTACAGCACAAGAAAAAAAAACTTCCTTTTTTTCTCTCCTCATCCCCCACCTTCCTTAAAGAACTGATGTTTGGTTTACCTGTGGTGGGTACAAATAGCTTCTAATTAGCCACCCAATTAGCATCTGACAGTTTTCAAAGCCTAGAGAGCAGAGATGATTTGCAGCCTTCAACAGTCGATGACGGGAGGGGGTGACAGGTGTGTAAAGAAGAGTTATTTCATTTTAGACAAGAGAGCAACCCCCACAAAATCAATCTCTCTTGCTTTAATCTGTTTTTCTTAAATGGGAGGTTTCACCAATGAGTGCAAAATCTTTTTTCTTCAAGAACCAAAGAAACATATTTTTTAGAATCCAAATGAAAAACAACTTCTTGATGAAACAAATTGAAAAATTAGTTTTATTTAATATTTCTGCTTTGTAGTCAAGGAGGTACAGTGGAGTAATGGATAGCGGCTTGAATTGAGAAATCGGAGGGCAGAGTTCAAATTCCAGTTGAATTCATTACCTTCACTTACGTGCTAATACCTTGGGAAAGGTATGAATCCTTTTCTTCTCCCCCTAGCTATGGGTAAATAGCAGGACAGACCAGGTTCTATAGCCTTGGATGGCAACTGATCTACCGCAGAAAGAAATGGCAACCTACTGCAGGAAAAAATCTGTCTTGCCAGTCACGTATCAAAAGATACATGACCGCCTAAGCATGTATCACATATGGCACCTAACTGATTGAGTCAAAAAGATATTCACTACATTATTGGCCAATTCTAAAGTTGGCTTTTTGCCACATTTCGTCATCCAGTACTAAAACATTTATAAGTACATTCTTTAATCCTATATCCAAAGTTCTGATTATGTAATGGTTTTATGGAACATCAATATTTATAATGGTCATAAGAGATTAAATATGCATTCTTTAATTATATATCAAAGGTTCTGATTGTAGTTTTATACCAAATACAATCTGAATTTATGAAAAAATCCAGAAATTTTTAATAAAATATTCAATAAATATTTTTTTTTTAATACAATCTATTTGGACATACCAAAAGATAACATAAATTTTGCTTTGGGTTTTCAATGCAATAATAATGGATCTGTAAATTTAACTAATTGTTTTCAATGTAACCACAAGAGAAGGTAGCAGATCTGCTTAGTTCAATACCTGAAAGAGAAAAAATTTTCATATATGCTAATAACAAGTTGACCCTATTTTAATTTGCATTATGAAATAGTTTTAAGCTGTTTCAATCAATGACTAAAAGTTTTTGTTTGTAAATAGAAAGTTATTTTTTCCCTATCTGAACATAAAAACACAACTACATCATAAAATATTCAGGAATTGTTTATACCACTGAATAAAATTTTCTGTTTATAAATAAAGGTTACTAAATATGTTTGAAATGTCTCCTCTGTGTGTGTATATATACATATGTATACATGAGTGCATGGCTGAGTGGTTAGAATTTTTGCTTTCTGACCATGAAACCTGGGTTCAAATCTCACCATGGTTGATTTGTCAAGGAGGTGGCATTGATGTTATTGGCCTGAGGAGGTGATCCCAGCATGCAGCACCATTGGAAAGTGCTTAAAGATCATACCACAGTGAAATTGGGTAGACAGAACTATTCAGAAAATGCTGATTGTTGTGTTAGCATGACGTCACTAGTCATCGTTTCCGATGGTTTATGTGTACTAACCTTATTCAAACTCTTCATTATGCCAGATTATGAGCTTTCTTCTAGAAACTGTAACTAAGATAACTGATCACCATAGTTGCAGTATAAACCACAGGTAGGCTCTAATTGTTGAATAAAATGTACCTGAGCAGGTGTCTGCAACAGGGATTGGCTAGCCGCTCTCCCTAGCAGACAGGTGTACTTGGAATTGAGTAGCTGGCCAAATGATGTAAATGCTTATAGACTCAAACATA